GTTTTAAAGGGTTAAACAGTGTAAACCTACTGTCACTCTGGTGTGCATTCTTGTTTGAAGTCATTGTGGTTGTTGCTGTTACTTTTTAGTCACACAGACTAAACCTGGAGTCTATTTTTGGTTTTGTATATGCTTTTGTTTGAATAATGTGTCTTCTGTCTCTTCCAGTCTTAGAGTCCTGGTCCCGGTCCAAAGGGCGATGCAGCTTCGTAGGACAACAGAGCACTCCCTCCTCCATCCCCCTCCTCCCATCTGCCCCCCTGCTGTCCCGACAGCAAAAGGTGACTGGGCAGCAGCACCCTCTGGGCTTTGGACAGGTCAGTTTGTGTCCTTTCTCTTGTTTATATATAGGCCGTTAACAGGTTTGAACTAAGGTTTGCTTCTACTCAGAGGAGATCATTCCAGTAGGACTCTGTGTTTCCCACACTCTGTATGTGGTACTGTGTGTTTGTCTATGAGGCTGACTGTAACAACAGTGAACAGCTGGAAGGGAAAACCAGGGATCAGGACTAACTTGTAAGAAGCCAGTGAACTTTCAAAGTAATAGTGAGGCAGATTTTAATCGACTACTAAGTCAATTGTAAATTTCATTTTTCTTCAAGATTTGAATTGAGTGCATGTTACAAAGTTAAACAACCCACCCCAAGGATTAATGGCGTATACTGATTCTGATATTGTCAGCTTGTGCAGTCAGCTGTATGTTTATACTCAAGAATCTGTCTTTTATGCTGCCACTGTTTACCAGGAAACTGCTGTTTCTGAGTGGCGGTAACATAATCTGTATCTCTGAAGCTTGTGTGTGTGGGGTCGCAAACCGGCAAAAACTTGAAAGTTTCTGCTTTCAGCCAAGAAATGGTTCACAGCATAGATTACATGGAAAGACAATGTGCTGTTTATACACTTTGTGTGCGATGGATTACTTACAGAGGTGCTGAAAGTTTTTGTTTCCCTTTTCTGAGCTCTTCCAATCTCTGTTCGTGAAATGACTTAACCAGTGGCTTAGGACCAGCAAAAAAACACTTGTTGAGCCAGTTGACTGGCTGCTGGTCCGTTCAGGCCAGTAATGGTTTCCAACAAGCCCAGATATCACCCAGAGTTCACCTGTGAAACAAAAAGCTAAATCAGTCATCTCTAATATTGTTTTTTGTTGCTGCCAGTTGAAAGTAAAACAAGAGGTTTTTAGTGGAGTGGAAAACGCAGCAGCGTTAGGCTGTGTATCTATGAGCTCATGTTCACAGCAACAGACACGAGTAATGTCAGTGTTCTTGTCTTACTCTGAGAGAGAAGAGCATGCGCATATATCAGAGGTCTCAGACGGCTCCTGTGTGAGTTGCGCCTGGTGTTAAAGGAGTCTTCTTGGTCTGTCCTCTCCCTCAGGTGCAGCCGTACGCTTCAAACCAGAGCAGCAAAGAATGGAACGGCAACTATGGGCCTCTGCGGCCGCACGCCTACATTCCCCCTACTGTCCACACGCACACCTTCAGCCCCACACACACCTCAGCCGCCCCCCACACTCTGCTGTCCTACCCCCCCAGCGGCCCACTCACCACCGCCCACCATCCCCACCCCATCCTGCCTTCTCGCCCACCTCCTCCCCCTCTCCTCCAGCATGGCTACGGTCTTTCCCACCCCCAAGGAGGCGCTATAGTTCACCAGGTGACCCTGAGCATCAGCGCCCACCCTCACCACCCTGGACACCCCGCTCCCCACCCTCACAGGCTCCTCCCTTCCCCAACCATCCACCCGCACCACCAGCCTGGATACGCCGCCCACCCCCACCAGTTCAAGCCTCCCTTCCCTCCTCCACCGCCCCCTCCTCACCCTTACATGGCCTCCCCAGCCGCCTACACAGGCTTCCCTCTGAGCCCCACCAAGCTCAGCCACCACCCCCAGTTCTCTTATATCTGAGGAGCAGGGCGGGGCCACAGCAGTACCTTCTGGTCAGGAAGGGCCACGGAAAGTGGACGGGGGCATCAACCTGGGCCGGGAGAGCTAGCAGCAGAGCACAAAATGGACGCATGTAATGATGAAGATGAGCAAGAAGAAGATGGGAAGATGGAAAACAACGTATCATAGCGGACCGAGTAAGAAAAAAGTAACAATGCCGAAGATGACATTAAAGTTCGGAGGACAAAGAAATTCCCAGCCTGTAATCCCGATTCATTGATTATGTTTTGATTGTCGGAGCATCTTGAGCTCTGAAAGACTTTCCGTGAAATCGACTAACGGAGGTAATAATAGATTAGAACCACAAAGCTTTAAAGAGAGCGCAACGGGAGTGAATGAATTCATATGACAATAAGGAAATTTTAATTAAGAATGTGTCCTTTGCATGTTACCTCCCATCAGTGGTTGTTTTTCAGAGAGTATGATCTAATTCACGGCTGGAAATCAGTAGTTGTTGCTGTCAGGCGGCCCAGCCTCTCTCCCCCTTTATCCTTATTGCCTTGTAGCATGTACAAGCCGGTCAGATTGTGTTTGTTAAGCCATCCCAGTGTGTATCGACGACCGCTGATAGCCCCCCACCCCCTCTTTGTTTCGGGCAGACTGTACTGCTGCCCTCTCTTAGTGCCTTAAAACGAGTGTCTCTGACGTTACTTCAGGAGCTTATACAGTAGATTGTACATTTAAATAGTCTTGCAGCACTTAACCTACAGAGTTTAAATAAGATGGGCTTATTGGATACATATGAGGTTAATCCTTGTTTTTATGTTATAATATTGGCAAACGTTGGACTTGGGTTTGCTTTCTAAGTCAGAGTATGGATTTCTTTTAGCTAGAGGCTGCACACATAGGGCTTTGACTGAATGAGCTTTTTATGTACATAAAGAGTGATTTGATATTTTGATAATCGTTTTCTATTCACTATAATACTTAATTCACAACAGTATTGTCACTGTTTACTGTAACTGCAATACAATCTAGATAGACTCTGGGTTGCTGTGTTTTTATTATTTGGCATTTAGGCTAGACTTGCATTAATGCATATTACGTTCTAGATTTTGGGAGTGGCATAGACTTTAAAAAAACATGAATTTTTATGTTTTTACTTTAAACTGCTTTTCAGTGTTTGAAATAACCTATCAACTTACAGTATCAGTGCTGGGCTATCGAGTATTAGAGTTATAATCGTTTGAAATTATTCATGTGAGGCAAACTTTTTTTTTTTCTTTTTTTTTTTTTGGTCCATGTATTGAAGCCTGTTGTCAGTTTTGATACATTCCTTCAGGGTGGATGCATAGCCTTGATTTGTGTGTTTCTAGTGTTTTTCGACTTTCTTTTCCCCCCACCGTGTAGTAGAGCTGTGTCTTTACCCGTCATATCAGCTGGTATTTTACTCCAATCAGCACCAAAGACTGTTTGTTTTTAATAATTACTGAAGCATGGTCGACGATATTTCTCTCCTTTTCACCTCCAGCATACTTGTTGCGGTTGTCAACATTGGAATATATTGTGAGATCTCTATTTTGAGTGTTTCGGTTGAGGTTTTATTATTATTATTATTTTCTGAGCTGTGTTTGGCAAATTGTTTTTTGGAATGTATTAGATAATAAGCTGCTATGTACTGATTATCTGCCACTTCGTAGCTGTGAATTTCGAGGATTAATCTCATTCTAGCCTGCATTCTCGCTCTTGTATTGTAGTTCTGACAGCTAGATACAATAGAAGTGGGGTTTATTTTGATCCTAGAGTATATTGAATGCTACTCTATATGCTAGTGCCTCTGTATATTGGCTTTGTTGTTTTGAAGTGATTGTAAACTGCTGTAATGGAAGTTATGAGTTTTCCTTTTCTTCCCACCCCCC